CCTAGCAGATATTTTGTCAAGGCCTGTTGCCTTTGACTTGTCTAGTTTATTTAAAAGTGAAAATACTTTAGTTGGATTGGTGGGTTGGAGCTTAAACCGTTTATCTGTTGCGGTAAGATATCTTTGATAGCTACCACTATCACAATTTATCTCACTGGCAAGTTTTGGACCAATATTAGCAAAGTGGTTATTGAATTCGTTTGATAGCTCCAACGGATTAGTTATCGTTAATCCGTTCACTTTTAGTGACGCTAATGGCGTTTTCCCAGATTTTCGCGAAGTTAGCTCGTTTATAGTCTGACAGGTCTTTCGGGAGTGCTTTGGATCCGTTGGAGTTTTTCGATGTCACAAATCGGTAGACCGTACAATAGGCTATTACAGAAATCAAGTCTCGATGAGATGAAGGTGTGTATGCTTGTCTTTACTTCGATTTGTTATCGGCTTCTTGTGGTATCTTCCTTGCAGGCATAATTGGCTGTTGTGATTGCTTTGGTTTTGGTTTTTACCACACTCAATTGAAAGGCGCCCTTATATGAATGACTGGTTGTTAATGACGGATATAAGCGGTTTTGTGCTTGACAAAGATAGTCCAAAAAATTCGAGAAATTTCCAACGCACTTATTTCAAAGGAATTTGAATGGACTTGAACAGTGTAATTTATTGTTCATTAACGACACACACTGTTTACAAATTGTGTAGAAATGCTGTATGCTGAAATAAATCTTGTTGAACATATCCCGGTCTCTGAAAGTGGAGAGTTTTTTGACAAAGGAACGAAACTATAAATGTTATAAAATGTAGCATTAATTCCTAAAGAATGAGTTACGTGAAAAATAAAACAAAGTATTCAACTAATGATATCTAACCGTTTGTCCATAAATTATGAATGAATTGTGACAGAAAATTTGTGTTATTACTCTCAAACAAAGGTATGTTCTCATAATCGGTTGAAAATCACTCAAGAAAGGAAAATTTCGTAAAATTGTCTGTTACTTTTTTAATTAGTTATATGATGTTCAATGTTGACCACGTCGATTTCCATGATGGCGATGTGAAGCGGTTAATCGAGAGGAACCTTCTTGGAAATGTTTACATCAGAAGATTCTTCTATCTCTGCATGTTTTAAAGAGTTACATGACAAGCTGTTGTAAATCTTCATTCTGTATGTGCTGCCAAAACTGTTTCTTTTGTTGGAGGGGATTGTTCTTTCGAGATGAATTTCTCTTGGACAAGTGAGTTGATATTTATTTACGCACATTTATTTTGATTTGTGTTTCATCGGTTGCTGATTATTTGCGAGATTAACTGACTAATTGCTTCAAAACTATGAGAAAGAAAAAAACTATTTTATTAGCTCAAACCAAATATGATTTTATTCCAATTAGTATAGAAAACTGGTAAAAAGCTGTGCTCAGAGAGTTATTTTACGTTTAGTTTGTTTTAGCTTACAGCATGCGGAAGAAAATGCGCTAAGTATTTGATTAAATTTTTTCCTAAATGAAAATAGATCTCTAAATAATGCAACTGATAAAGTGCCGAATGTCGAAGTTTCAACCGAGTTCGTTGTGCAGATCTGAAGAGGTAGTTGTAACTTCCTCTAAATTTTTAGTGAATTTAGCATAAGTTATGATACGTTGAATAAATGTTCGCACGACCAAGGTTAGTCTTGTATCTAGTAAACAACGCAATTTTTTTATTCCGAAAATTTCAATCATTGAAATCTTACATGGAATCTTCATTTGCCCCCATTATGAACAATTCGAAGCGTTTACTCCTTATTAGGTAGCTGAACTGCGAGACTACCCTCCTTAGCGAATTTAATTTGTCTTAGCGGGTAGCTCAGCGAGGATGCTGTGAATTTTGCTTTTAGAGCTCCCCTTTCCTTGCAAAATTTAGGTGAACGGAAGCGCCATGAGAGTTTTTTTAATATGTGCGCTATATAAATACCAGTTATTATTATTATCAGAAGTAAAAACTATCTGTATGCCATACAGTTAAGAGGAACACAGGGCGCCAAGGCGTAGCCTGTGCTCCGGCTAGTGATACTAGAATTAAAAGGTAATGTTCGATTAAAAAGTAAGGTTAAAATATGTATTTGTATAG